TTCTGGCAAGATCGCCGACTGCCGGTCACGCGGTAATAGTTTTTTCCTATGTTTTTCTTTTATTTATTAACATTTTATTTTTTCAAGTAACTTTTATGGCCTGTGAGACCAATGTAAGCCATATTTTGGATATATACACTCATTGTATACTACACAATAACTGCACAAACATTGACAGGTGAACATTTTCACCTATTTTAGTCACATACTATTGCCTAGAAATATATAAATAGTATTTATAGGTCCCAGCAATGTTTTGGAGGGGAAGGGAGTGTGGGTTTGTGTAAACAACATGGCTGGCTGGCCGGCTGGCTGGTTGGCTCTGTCAATGCCTCAAAGGTACACATAAATACAATTATACATAGTGTAAATTACTTAGGATACATGGAGAATATAATAATAATAATAATAATAATAATAATAATAATAATAATATTAATAATAATAATAATAATAATAATAATAATAATAATAATAACTGAGGCATGGTGTAAGAGTGTGTCACTCGTCTTATCTCTCCACAGCCGGCTGGCTGGCCGGCTGGCTGGCTGGCTGGCTGGCTGGCTGGCTGGCTGGCTGGCTGGCTGGCTGACCAGTTGGCTGGCTGGTTGGCTCTGTCAATGCCTCAAAGGTACACATAAATACAATTATACATAGTGTAAATTACTTAGGATACATGGAGAATATAATAATAATAATAATAATAATAATAATAATAATAATAATAATAATAATAATAATAATAATAATAATAATAACTGAGGCATGGTGTAAGAGTGTGTCACTCTTCTTATCTCTCCACAGCCGGCTGGCCGGCCGGCTGGCTGGCTGGCTGGCTGGCTGGCTGGCCGGCCAGCTGGCTGGCTGGCTGGCTGGCTGGCTGACCAGTTGGCTGGCTGGTTGGCTCTGTCAATGCCTCAAAGTTACACATAAATACAATTATACATAGTGTAAATTACTTAGGATACATGGAGAATATGATAATAATAATAATAGTAATAACTGAGGCATGGTGTAAGAGTGTGTCACTCATCTTATCTCTCCACTAATGACAGTGATGACATTTGATGAGGGGCTTCTTTTCTTATCTCTCCACTAATGACAGTGGTGATATTTGACGAGGGGCATCTTATGTTATCTTATCTCTCCACTAATGAGAGTGGTGACATCTGATGAGGGTACACTGCCTTTCCTTTATTTGTTTTCACTTTACACATAAACATGTCTGTCTATCCATCTGCTTGTCTCTTTTTCTGTCTGTCTATCTGTCTGCCTACCTCTCTTTCTCTCTCCCTCTGTCTCAGAGAGAGCCACTAGTGAACCAACACACAATACACACGACGCAGGAGACACTGCGTCACATCTAAGTCCTGATACTTATTATTTGCCAGTGTGGATTTTTTGGGTTATTCTAGGTAATTTACACTATGTATAATTGTATTTATGTGTACCTGTGAGAGAAAGACAGACAGATAGACAGCCAGTCAACCACCTGACCAGCCAGCCAGCCACCTGACCAGCCAGCCAGCCACCTGACCAGCCAGCCAGCCACCTGACCAGCCAGCCAGCCACCTGACCAGCCAGCCAGCCACCTGACCAGCCAGCCAGCCAGCCACCTGACCAGCCAGCCAGCCAGCCACCTGACCAGGCAGCCAGCCACCTGACTAGCCAGCCAGCCACCTGACCAGCCAGCCAGCCAGCCACCTGCCCAGCCGGCCAGCCATGTTGTTTACATAAACCCACGCTCCCTTCCCTACCACCCCACCTGCCTCCCCCCTCCTTACTGCCTTTCCCCACCACGCACACTGCGGAAGAGTTAGGTATTCCTTACACTTGGCTTGGTGACAAAGGCACACTGAATTACCACTCCCACAAAGCAATGCGGGTGCATAGATTTTTTCCTACTGTGCACACTTACTACATATACCCATTCTATCACATGTAGGCCTACCCGCCTTTTCCTGCTTGATTTGAAGGCGGTAGAATTTATGCGTACTAGTACGTCACTAATTCTGGAGCATAAGACGTACTAGTATGTCGGAAACCCTGAAAGGGATAAGACTATGAATATTTTGAGGTAAATAATGAATGTACTGTATGTGTATTTTACTTTTTATTGTTTTTAATGCCTAGTTCTATTGATAACATATGTTATTGTAAACTTGTTATCTGGCATTTATATGCATTTATAAGTGGAAAAAAATGGCGTTCTTCTTTCCGGCGACGTCTGCTTTCCGGCAGTAGCCTGGAACCTAACCTGCCATATAAGTGGGGTCCTACTGTATATATTTCTAGACAACAGTATGTGACTAAGGTAGGCGAAAATGTTCACCTGTCACTGTGTTTGTGACTATTTCAGTACTATTTCAGTACCTAATATTAGTGTCAGAACAAAGATTGGGTATTAAATCACAAGAACTACTATAAATAGTAATTATTAGAACACAAAAATTATATAAAATAATGTGAAAACGAGAAAAAAAGGTATTTCGGCAATGTTCCTGCAAGCAGCAGGACTCCATGTTGCCATCAGATGAGCATCAAGGGCCAGCTTCGGAGGCTCCTATCTCGGTGAGTACTGACCCTAATTTTTTTTTATCCTATGGCATGTAGAAAAATGTGCTCTTTATTTCTATATAATAAAAAACTATTTTTTTTTTCAAAATATTCGGAGTGCTGGGCGAGAGAACGTAGATCTATGTTTGGGCAGTTAACAGGTTAAGTATGTAGAGGGATGTGTCACAACCATGAACATCTTACTGTAGCTGTTAACTATGTACTGTACTGATATATGCAAAAATAATGGAAACTTGATTTGACTCATGAAATCATAAAAATGCAAATGCAAACAAATCAAGGGCCAGTTGCTGTTTGACCCCATGGTCAGTGAGTGCTAAAACTCACAGGCTAGTGTGTTAAGACTCACCTGTCATGTCTAGTGAGTGCTAAAACTCACAGGCCAGTGTGTTAAGACTCACCTGTCATGTCTAGTGAGTGCTACAACTCACAGGCCAGTGTGTTAACCCTTTGAGGGTCCAAGCCACAGATCTACGCCTTGTCTACAGCGTCGAAGCCATAGTTCTATGCCATGAGCTCAGCTCACTCAGATAAGCTGTGAGCAGTAAATTTGGACTTAGATATGAGAGAATAGATATATGTGGTAAGTGTGCACCATATAAAACAAATTCTGCACCACACAGTGCATGAGAAAAAAAAGACTGTGACCGAATGAAAGATATATTACAGAAATAGAGATGATTTTGATTGATTTTAATACTGAAAATAACTTGAAATTGAGCTCAAAGTAGCAGAAATGTTTGATTTTTGTAGATGTTCAAGAGTAAATAAATGACGTTACGCGTGCAATACACATAAACTGGTGGGTCTCATATATGTTCATGAATATGCTGATATTATTTATACAATTATTACAATATTGCATAACAGTAGTTCTACTATTTTTTGGTGTGAATAAAAATTCTTTATGTAAATCAAAAATCAAAATGGAATTCATCTGTGAAGCCTGGAAACATTAATAAACAGAGGAAACGCTGTTTTAGTGCCAGGAATGCCTGCATTGTTTATTCTAGGTCCCATTTTAAAATAAGAACATTCTGAACTTTGTGTGAAATTGGCCAAATTACCAATTTCTGATAACTTTACTGGGTAGTTGAAATAGATGATTGGGCAGTTTCATGTGCTCAATCGATAAAACAGAAGTAATACTAGTGAAATAGCTAGTATACTCTTGAATTTGTAAACTAGAATAATGTAATTGGCCTAAAATAGAAGTCAAAGTGGGCAAAATCGCCGATACGTATATATCACTGACACAGTAAAATTTGCAAGAGTAGTTTCGACAATTTTCCATCAAATTTCGTACTTTTTGTTTTATTACCTTCAGAACAAGATTCACTACCATTTCATTAGAAAAAATAACAAAAGTTTTTTTTTAAATTCTTGGACCCTGTGAACAAGGTGTAGAAGTACGGCTTGGACCCTCAAAGGTAACGTTAAGACTCACCTGTCATTGCTAATGACTGCTAAAACTTCATGTGACTGTGTGTCAAAACTCACCTGTCATGGCTAGTGAGTGCTAATACTTTACAGGGCAGTGTCAAGACTCACCTGTCATGGCTAGTGAGTGCTAATACTTTACAGGGCATGTCAAGACTCACCTGTCATGGCTAGTGAGTGCTAATACTTTACAGGGCAGTGTCAAGACTCACCTGTCATGGCTAGTGAGTGCTAATACTTTACAGGGCAGTGTCAAGACTCACCTGTCATGGCTAGTGAGTGCTAAAATTCATAGGCCAGTGTGTTAAAACTCACCTGTCATGGCCAGTGAGTGCTAAAACTCACTTGTCATGATTAGTGAGCTCTAAAACTCACCTGTCATGTCTAGTGAGTGCTAAAACTCACAGGCCAGTGTGCTAAGACTCACCTGTCATGTCTAGTGAGTGCTACAACTCACTTGTCATGATTAGTGAGCTCTAAAACTCGCCTATCATGGCTAGTGAGTGCTAAAACTCACAGGCCAGTGTGTTAAGACTCACCTGTCATGGCCAGTGAGTGCTAAGACTCACAGGCCAGTGTGTTAAGACTCACCTGTCATTGTTCAAGCTCCAGAAATTCCCTGATTTAACTTGCTTTGAATTATTGTTTACTTGCATAATAAGTAATTATTTTTTAAGGTCTGAGAGGCAGCATTCACACTTAATATCCACAACACCTCAAATGAAAATTATACTCATAATTTTGAACTATATACTGTATATAATGTTTAAAAATAGCATTAAAATAAAGTATACTCTTGAAATTTAATGAGTGAACCTTATGAGAAGTATGTAACCCACTGAGTGAAGAGAGGCAGAGAAATATACAGAGACGGAATCAAAGAGAAGGAAGAGTAACTGGAAGTGTCTACGTATGTACACAGTTAGCAGGACTACGATGAAGGCAGCAACATCAACTACTACTAAAACACAATCATAGCCTACCCACGACTGCACACAGGAATGTCCATATGAACTACGTGCCGGTGTTCACACCCATGTTCTACATAGCTGCTCACAAATGAGAAACACAAAGCTTAGTTGTCTGTTTTATTATCAAACAAAATGTAAAAAAATAAAAACCTTAAAAATGAAAACAATTTTAAACTTAAATTGTTAAAAATGATTAGTATAAATCAGTATATTAGATATGGAAAAACATCAATGCTTACTGTACTCCATGGGCATCCATGAAGGCTGAGTTCCACATGATAAACTCATGAAGGAGATATTAACACAATGTACAAGACATATTTCAGTAGGAAAAAGGCAGATACCTTCCACACCCCCACAGACCCACCACTGTACTCAGAAATAATAGTAACCTCTCAATATAACTGTTGCGAGTAAGTGAGTTAGAGGAATTTTTTATTCCTTGGAAGTTTATAAAGAACTTCAGAATTTGGCCTGTTACAAAGTTTCCCTCTCAGTTTAATATATTTTAGAGTCTAGGGGTAATTTCAACTAGGAAACTCAATACAATAATATAAAAATCTTCTTATGCTTAATTTTAAAGTAGTATTTGAATACAATACTTCATCTTCTCTTTGTACATATTATGACTTAATACTGTATGTACAATAGTTTTATGTATTTACAGAAATATACATGTATATATAAAGTTCAAACCTAGGTAGTAGGTTGGTACACAGCAACCACCCAGGGAGGTACTACCGTCCTGCCAAGTGAGTGTAAAACAGAAGCCTGTAATTGTTTTACATGATGGTAGGATTGCTGGTGTCTTTTTTCTGTCTCATAAACATGCAAGATTTCAGGTACGTCTTGCTACTTCTACTTACACTTAGGGCACACTACACATACATGTACAAGCATATATATACATACCGCTCTGAGTTTTCTTCTATTTTCTTTCTAGTTCTTGTTCTTGTTTATTTCCTCTTATCTCCATGGGGAAGTGGAACAGAATTCTTCCTCCGTAAGCCATGCGTGTTGTAAGAGGCGACTAAAATGCTGGGAGCAAGGGGCTAGTAGCCCCTTCTCCCGTATAAATTACTAAATTTAAAAAGTGAAACTTTTGTTTTTCTTTTTGGGCCACCCTGCCTCGGTGGGATACGGCCGGTTTGTTGAAAGTAAGATAAAGTTCAAACACATGGAAATATCACATTAACAATGAAGACTACTCTTTAACTCTTTAAAATTTAAGTCTTCACAAATATCTACGTCTTTGCCTCAACAAGACTGTGTTAAACCCAACTGCATAAATGTATAAAATTTAACAAGACCTCTGAATTCTGTCATAAAGAAGACAGACAGCAAGAATTTGTCTGAAAAGACGTATCTTGAAAGATTGCTGGAATGCCCAAGAATACATACAAAGCAATCTTCAGAACAATACAGAATGAACTATGAGCCAGCTCTTAAGTCTAATTCTCAAGAAAATTCAAACTGAGTGAATCTATAAGAGAGAACCAATATATGATCATTAGTCAGGGCTAGATCAGGTAGCAGACTGACTCACTGCCAGTCTGTTGACCCGTCATCGGGTTGGATCACAGTGACCCAAACGTCAGTAAGCCAGACTTAAACAAGTGAACAATTTACCTGATGGTTTCCTGACTTTTTGTATGTTCTACACGCATATAAGAAATCCTACCTAACAATAATCATAACTAAAAATCATCGATATCGATAATAATAATAGTAATAATAATAATAATGATAATACCATGGTATATTAATATATATTGACAGATAATAATATAATGCTGAAAATCTCTATTTTAGCTATAAACGGAGACTTTCGCGCTATAATATTAAGTGATAATCACATTCTCAGACAACAGTTAAATATTATAGAATGACCTAACTCCAAGGTACAACAATAACAAACCTCAACATAAAAGACTTGAAATAAAGGACAAGCTTCACTATGTAAATTTTACTTTTAACTTTTTATTTTCAATGCTTATTGCAATATAACTGTAAACTGTTGGTTCAGTACATATTATGATACGTGCTTTTTTTGTTGCTATTTCTTAACTTTATTCTGATTTAATGGAGACTAACAGAATGCTTCCTGGTTATATTGAGGATTTACCTGATATTGCATGCTAGTTTGGTTCACTTGTAGTACAACTGGGTGTGTAACATATATACAAGCATAACCCACTAAACATTACCCCTACAAACATTACCTTCTTGTGCTTAATAATACAGTGGAACCTCAGTATACGACCAGCTCCCTACTTGAACAAGGCTCAGCACTCACCCAAACAAATACGACCTGCCAGAACTGCGCTGTAAACTATTTCGTGTTTCGTCGCATTTTTTGGTGTTTTTTTGTATTGTTTGTATAAGTAAGTCACCATGGAGCCTACAACAATTAGTGATAACAGCCAACCAAAGAGAAAATTGGTTGGGAAGAACTTGTTCGGTACTCAAACGGAGAAGCACTAGAACAGCCTTCTGGAATAAATTAAGGTTGCATACCAAGGTTCCAATGTAACCCACATGGTGACAGAAACTCAGAAGAGGAATTTGTCTGTATATTTTGAGTGATGGTGAAAATGTTTAGAAGAGGAATTTGTCTGTATATTTTGAGGGATGGTGAAAATGTTTGTTCTTCTGGGATCACCTCAGCGGGAGATTGCCAGTTTGTTAACCCTTTCAGGGTCCGTCCCGTAGATCTACGGCTTTGCGTTCAGTGTCCAAACCGTAGATCTACGTCATGAGCTCAGCTCACTCTGATAAACTGTGAGTGGTACACTTGGGCCTAGATATGAGAGAATACATCTATGTGGTATGTGTGCACCACATAAAACAAATCCTGCAGCACACTGTGTATAATGAGAGAAAAAAAAAATGAAACCAAGATTTTCGATTAAAACAGCAACTTTGCAGTATTTTTTCGTATGTTTTTTATAGTTGTATTTGCAATTTCTTGGTCTCATTTGATAGAATGGAAGACATATTACAGAAATAGAGATGATTTTGATTGGTTTTAGCACAGGAAATGGCTTGAAACTGAGCTCAAAGTAGCGGAAATGTTAAATTTTTGTCGATGTTCAAGAGTAAACAAACGACCTCACACGTCTAATACACGCCAGCTGGTGGATCTAATACACATTCACAAATGTGGTGATGATATTTATACAATTATTACAATATTGCATAACAGTTAATCTTCTATTTTTTGGTGTGAATAAAAATTCATTATGTAAATAAAAAATAAAAATGGGATTTATTTGTAAAGCCTCAAAATGTAACTAATGAACCGAGGAAATGTTAGTTTAGTGCCAGGAATGCCTACATTGTTTATTCTGGATGCTATTTTGAAATTGGAATATTTTGAACTTTGTGTTAAATTGGCCAAATTACCAATTTCCGATCACTTTATTTTGTAGTTGAAACAGTTGACTTGGCGATTTCTTGTGCTCAATCGATAGAATAGAAGTAATACTAGTAAAATAGCTAAGAATTTGGTCGACTGGAATGATGTAATTGGCCTAAAATGGAAGTCAAAGTCGGCAAAATCGCCGATTCGTAAATATCGCTGACACATCAAAATTCGCGAGAGCATAATTTCGTCAATTTTCCATCAAATTTCGTACTTTTTGTTTTATTACCTTCGCAAAAAGATTCTCTACCATTTCATAAGAAAAAATAACAAATTTTTTGGGGGAAAATTCTTGGACACTGGGGCACCACTTCAGATTTGGGCCTTGGACCCTGAAGGGGTTAAAAGAATACAAAAAAGAAAACTGACCTTTTACTGGGGTCCTCTTCTGATAACGACACCAGTAGAGGATTGAAATATACTGACATATTCATCTTGTGAGGTTCTGTCGTCATGTGGGTTATTATTAAGCAATGAAAAGTGTTCACTACACTTTTACTGATTAGCTATTATCCTCCTGTATTTTGATGACTTATTTTTTGTTAATGCATCGGCTGTTTCCCACCAAGGCAGGGTGACCCAGAAAAGATGAAACACTTTCATCATCATTCACTCCATCACCGTCCAGCTAGAGGCGTGCCTACACTAGTTATAAAAATGTGACTTATCAACAACCCTCCTCTATGTAATGTAACTTTTTTAATTATTATGAAGGGTGGCCTGGTGGTTAACGCTCTCGCTTCACACGGTGAGGGCCTGGGTTCGATTCCCAGCCAGAGTAGAAACATTGGACGTGTTTCTTTCAACCTGTTGTCTATGTTCCCCATCAGTAATATGGGTACCTGGGTGTTAGTCGACTGGTGTGGGTCACATCCTGGGACACTGACCTAAGGAGGCCTGGTCACAGACTGGGCCGCGGGGGCATTGACCCCCGGAACTCTCTCCAGGTAAACTCCAGGTAAACTGCTGCATAACAGCTTGCCACCCCAACACACACTTCTCATTCCAGGCCAAGATATGCAACAATACGTTCAAGATGGCAACACACCACAAGTGTTTCACATTACACACCCAAGATGGCAACTCACCACAGGTGTTTCATGTTCCATACTAAGATGGCAACATACCACAGGTGTTTCATATTGCACATTCAAGATGGCAACACACCACAGGTTTACTTTTGAACATTGGCAAAAATCAAACATTTCCCATACTTTGAGCTCCATTTCAAGGTTCTTTTCATAGTAAAACCTATCAAAATCACCTCTATTTCTATAATATGTTTTCCATTCTATCAAATGAGACCAAGAAAAAGAGAATATAACTATAAAAAAGAGAAGAAGAAAAACTTTATAAAACTGGGATGCTTGAATGTGCGTGGATGTAGTGCAGATGACAAGAAACAGATGATTGCTGATGTTATGAATGAAAAGAAGTTGGATGTCCTGGCCCTAAGCGAAACAAAGCTGAAGGGGGTAGGGGAGTTTCGGTGGGGGGAAATAAATGGGATTAAATCTGGAGTATCTGAGAGAGTTAGAGCAAAGGAAGGGGTAGCAGTAATGTTGAATGATCAGTTATGGAAGGAGAAAAGAGAATATGAATGTGTAAATGCAAGAATTATGTGGATTAAAGTAAAGGTTGGATGCGAGAAGTAGGTCATAATAAGCGTGTATGCACCTGGAGAAGAGAGGAATGCAGAGGAGAGAGAGAGAGATTTTGGGAGAAGTTAAGTGAATGTATAGGAGCCTTTGAACCAAGTGAGAGAGTAATTGTGGTAGGGAACCTGAATGCTAAAGTAGGAGAAACTTTTAGAGAGGGTGTGGTAAGTAAGTTTGGGGTGCCAGGTGTAAATGATAATGGGAGCCCTTTGATTGAACTTTGTATAGAAAGGGGTTTAGTTATAGGTAATACATATTTCAAGAAAAAGAG